CTATAATTATTACAAAAACACAAAATAAGTAAAAAATAAATATTTATATTTGTGTACAAGCTGTTTAGATTGTCCAAAATCCTGTGTTTTTAGGGTTATTTAAGAAGTTCGTGTACTCAGACCAGTAATATTTGGGGTCACAAGTTTGTGCCATGGATATTTTGTGGGTCAGAAGATAAAAAGTTTGGGAACCACTGCTGTGATGAGCATTGGTAGCAGGTCAAATAACAAGGGCACAGTAACAATATGTGTTTTGCTAATTTCATTATTTTTAAGTATACTAACCTTACTGCTTTGTAACAACTAAGCCAAAAAAATGTTGTCAGTATAGTGTGTTTTTAATGTAATAAATTCCGAAAATCATTTCAAAACCTCAACTTGATGTTTCAAAACCCACAGTGGGGGTGTCCCAGCCCCAAGTGGTTTTTGAACCACTGATCTATAGCACCAATAAATCCTGGTACTGGTTGCACAAATTCCATGGGATGTGAAAAAACTGGCAATCAAATGAGCAGTGACATTGCTGTAAGACATAGTGTAGACTTATTACAGAACATGAAGATTTCAATAGGATTAGTACTGAATAGATTTCCCTGCGTATACTGTATGTGGGCACAAAACTAATTTCCCAGATTCTCCATCAGACATCTCTAAGTGAAATATTAGAAACAGCAAGGGAATTTTAGTGAGACTAAAAAAAAGTATTAAAAGGAATAAGAGGTAGGGATCAGTACTGGAACAAGGAGGACTTAAAAAGACGTGACTCAGCTTGATGCATCCAAGTGATGGGTAACGATAAAAGAAGCTTTCAAAAAATGTCCACGTTAAAAAAAAATTGCAGAATAAGCTTTTTACCTTTAGAGATCTAAAAAGGCCAACACTGAACTGAATGAAAGAACACCCTCATATATTGGATTTTTCTGTTTGTTGAGACAGGGAGGGGTGTTTAAGATATATTTTGCACAACAAACTTGTGCAAAATTCATCATTTTTTTTACTACATTTATATCCTAAGCAAAGCATGACCTTAAACAGGAAAATATTATTCCATTTATGCCAGATGTCTCTAAAATGGTCATGGTGCATACTCATATTTATTTATTCTGTTAATAATGTTGCAGCACAGGGCTCAGATTAATTGATTTGATTTGATTTGATTTGATTTATTTATTTAAAAGGAAAAGATTATTAAAAATCAAGCCTGACTCAGCATAATTGCTGTTTTACAGCAGGTTCCTGTTCTGCAGCACATAAAACACTCAGAATTACAGCATCACAATCACATCATTATACACCATAGACACAAAGACAAACAAGCATACCAAATTTCAAAAAGGCAGCATTTGCAAAATAGGACGTCTAAATATGAGCACAACAAAAAGTGTCCAGCAGATGGCAGACAAGATTCTTCTTAAAGGGCTGTAGTTTTGAAATGGACTTTACGTTTTGAGGAATGTCATTCCATGCTTTAGTATAAACATAGAAGACAGACCTCTGGCCGTAACAGTTTTTAAAAGTTGGTAATATAAGTTGTCCTTTTGTAACAGATCTAGTTGAATGACCACTTCCAGAATTTGATTTGGGCAGCAATGCACAGAGAGTTCCATAACTGGCACCTTGGAAGATCTGAAAATATGAATTAATACCACTATACAAAACATAATTCTGAAAMGTCAAGGCATCAGACAATGAAAGAACTGTACAGTGATGAGTCCAACCAGGAAGTTTTTTATGAATTTTGTAGGCCCTGTTGTAGAGCCTAACTATGGGTTCTAAGATTTCATTTGTTGTAAGAGACCAAACAGGTAAACAGTAAGACATGGTTGAGAGTATAATGGCATGAAGATAGATATTTGAAACAGAAGATGTCAGATTGGATCTAATTTTTGAATAAACATATAATTTCTGTTTCAATTACTGGAGATATGAGCCATTGATCATCACTTTCAAATCAGCATAACCGCTGGGTCATAAGTTGTGACAAGAGTGAAATATTTCTGTGCTTACACTGCTTTACTTGAATAATCGACTAATTCATCATTGGCAAAGTGTACACTTTGTGTTCTATACTGTGATTTTTTTTAAGTCTAACCTACTTTGGCTGAATTTTTGTAAAAGAGGATATGCAGCAAGCAGGATATTCAGCACCTCCAGAGCATGTATTTATAGTTTTGCATTTACTCTCCCTGTTCTTTTATCCACATGCAGTGCTGCCCATTTCGAGGAGATCTATGAGTTGTTTCACAGGAGCTTTGGGAAAACATCTGGGGAAAGCACTGCAGCTAGTAAACATTTCATTTTTGATTTTATTTCTTTTTTTTTTTTTACATCAGAGGCAACCTCCGAAGCTGTTGAAAGTGTTTCACTACATTCAGAACTTGTGCTGGGAGGACCTGTAACGTAAATCCTGAAACCTGAGAGCCTCTTTTGCTACCTGAGCTCAGACCACCTGGGTGCATCGAGTGTGGTATCTTGTGTCGTATCTTATATAAAGAGGAACACCTGGTCTTGCTAAAAGCTTAAAAGATGAATAAATAACCAGAAAATTAATTAACAGAAATACCAACGTTGACTGAAGTGTGCTCATGAGAGCCGATGCTGTTAAACTTCTACTGAGGAATTTTTCTTTCATTTGCAGAACCAACTTTACCTTTTAACTCCTGGGCAGTTGACGTAAGCTCACAGGTTAATTTGTTTAAACATATTGACTTTGTTGATGGGTTTTACTTTTCTCACTGAGCCCTCGCCAGCTGGGAGGCGTTTCCATTCCAGCTTGAGGAATGAGCATCGAGCACTTTTACTACTTGATGATTTGTTCTGCTCCTAGCTGAGAGCAGGACAGCTCACACTGTGGCCTCTGCTGCTACAACTAATCCAAAGGAGAATAACAACTGCAGGTAAGGAGACTACAGCAGGTGCAGAACAGTGGGTTTCAGACTGATGGCTTTTTGCAAACACTAAGTTAGTTTTCAGTATAGAACCGGTCCAGCTTTGWGCATTGTAGTTTGAGACGTTCTTTTTTCTCCTGAATACATCTATTTGTGCTGCACCAAATTTTCACATTTAAATAGCAAACTTCTAAATTTTGTAATGATGCTAATTTAATCCTCCATTCAGAATCTGTGTTTTTTTTACTGTTCTTGTTATGATTTGTGGGTTTTGATTCAAGGTTTCAATTTTATTCTTGTTGTGTTTTTTTAGTTCTGGTATATTTTAGGGCCTGATTTTCACTTTCCTGTGCTTTTGCACCATTGTCTTAATTTACATGCAAATTCCTCCATTCCACTTTGGTTAAGGATACATGCTTTTTAATCCTTCTTTTCACATTTAAATCATACAGTTAGGGTCTACATAAASTGGAAATGTAATGCTTTGGTCTGAAATCCTCCTTATTGTAAYTCCACAAGCCCCTCTTTTACCCCTTTTCTAAGGTGTGTCTTAGATCAGTGTTTTCTAAAGTTGGGGTCGGGACCCAAAGTGGGGTCCCGAAACATCAAGGTGGGCTTCTGAAAAGATTTTTGGAATTAATTACATTTTTGCCTTAGTTGTTACAAAGGAGTGAGGTTAGTGTATTTAAAATGGATAAATGTAGTATAAAAATATTGTTACAATGCCCATGTTTAGTTGACCTGATACAAATGTTTATCATCCAAAATTAGCTGGGGGTACAGGTTTTGTGGGTCAAAAGCTGAAAAGTTTGGGAACCACAACACTTTGGTTCCTAAAGTTGGGCTTGGGACCCAATTATGGGTCATGAAGCACCTTGGATAATCTCCAGAAATCAATTTAAAGGGTAATAAAATAATTGCTCCCTATAACTATTAAAAAATCACAAAATAAGTGTAAATAAGGATTTATATTTGTGTACAAGCTGTTTAGATTGTCAAAAAGCCTGTGTTTTTAGGGTTATTAATGAAGTTTGTGTACTCAGACCAGTAATATTTGGGGTCACAAGTTTTGCCATGGATATTTTGTGGGTCAGAAGATAAAAAGTTTTGGAACCACTGCCTTAGATCAACTCATTTTAAAGCTGTCTCTTTAAATCCAAATGAGATGCTTCACACCCTGCCCCCCTCCAGCTTCCAGAGTAGTGGCTTAACAGAAGAGTTTAAGACTATAAAGCGGTGTAGAAGCTTTTTATTTACAAATTAAATAAAATATGTCAAAAAGAGAGAACATCTCCATCCAGCCTTACACATAGTAATTAGGCCAGAGTCTGTTTAAGAGTGAGAGAACGACAAAATTCATCCATCGCAAAAACAATGATATAATAGTTCAGAAAACAGAATAGAAAATAGAGAAACTTGAACAAAATAAAAACCTGACCCAAACAGAATATAAAGATATCTACACAGCACCAGAAAAACTAAATTAAACTTTTCTGCACTCGACTCCCAAGTACACAACAAAATGCATTTAACAGCTAAAAGAGTAAATTTTGCATCAGTTTGTCAATTTTCATCATCTGGACCATACTGCTCCTGCTCTTACTTTATTTGTAGCTTTTTTTTTCTTTTTCTTGGATCAAGAATTTGTTTGTATCTGCTGTCAGGGGACTTCTTTAGTTTTGTTTGCCTGTTTTAGTTTGTTTCTTTCACTTTAGAATATTTTTTTCCTCGGTTCATTCTTCAAGTATTTCATTATTTTCTTCCAGCTTCTTTCATCCAAATTTGCTTCAAACACCCGACAATGTAACACTTCACAGTACTATTCAAAGGACTGATGTTTTAAGTAACACAATAACCACAAAAGACCCTTGAGCCAAATGCTATGTTCTCCTACTCAAACAGATTATGGTCCATGTGACCACATTCCAGTGACCCATAGTCAGCATCATTACRGCACGTCTGACTTGGCTGGACAAATTGCTTTAATACAAAAACCATTATGTAACTGCCACAGCTCATAACAAGAAGCCCAGACTTTATGCAGCACATTCATCACCCCTATAATCCAACATTCACTGATCAATAGTGCATGTAAGTTGTTTAACCTAAGAGCATATTTGAAAATAAAAAAAAAAACACACAGAGATGAATATTTCTCATATTAGCGACCAGATTTGTGGTAGTGTTTTTTTTATTGTTTGTTTTGTTTTAACATGCCCAGAGGAACAAAGTAATGGTTGTACACAGAAGACATCACAATACTAAAATTAACACTAACACATCCCGTATCTATCTAAATGTGCCATTAAAAACATACATTGTCTTGTGTTTTATTCGCAATTTGCACGAACTTACTCCACCAAACAAGATTTTGCTTCAAATGTTAGCGCTATTTGAGTCAGCTATGCTTGTCTGTTAGCAAAACATCTCCTGGACAACCGGACAAATTTTATTGAAACTTTCAGAAAACAATCACTGGATGTGCATCTACAACTGATTAACCTTTGGAGTCAGTAAAATTAAAGATGGCCACCACAGCTAATGGGTTTTAGCCAACACAAAACATGGCTATAACTCACAAAAATGGCAAATGTTTGATGTGGTAATAGCTAAGAGTCATCCTACATGCAGGGGCGCAGATAGGATTTTTGAACTGGGGGGGACCAAGTTTTCAGCAAATGATTTCCATCTAAGTAATTTTTAGTAATTTGATTAGTTACTTTCATAATAGCTTTTGAGTGAATGGTTTGCAATAAAATGGCATTATAGAATTATTTGAAA